CAGTGACATCCTGGCCTCTTTCATGCTTTCTGTTTCATCGTCGTCATCATCATCGATTTCAACTTGATGATGGGCTTTATTTGTAGGCTTTGCACTTTTGCGTCTGGACGCCATGTCTATGTAAACGTGTCGACGTTGTTTGCGAAAACTTCTTCAGGTGATTTCAGTTTCTGCCGCTGTTAAGTAATACAGCAGTCAGCGACTGTGGTACAGATTGCTGTTTAGATCAGTTACTGCTGCACTAAATCACTGTTGCACTCAACTGCTGTGATTTAGATTACTGATGAAGTCAGAATCCGCTGATATATATAAGTTACTGCTGCCATTGAAATAAGTTACTGTTGATTTTGAAATCAGTTACTAATGACAGTTGCTGTTAAAACCAGTTGAATCTGAAGTAATTTCCGTTTGAAATCAGAACACGCTGAAGAAGAAGGAAAAAAAAACCGATGGTTTTAGCTACTGGTAGTGTATACTGGGGATTGTGCAGAGAGTTCTTAAAAGCTATTTAATTCAGTATTTGATGTACTGAATCGTGGACAGTTGGCTGATTGGTGAAAGATTATGTTGAAGCGATGGAGATGTTGTTTTATAGACAGATGGTTGAAACACAGTAAAGGTTAGTTGCATATCCTTTAAAGGACGTTTCAGAACCAACCCCAACAGCCCCTGGCAGTTGTGTGGTTTTTCTAGGCAAATTAACGTCCAGTAGTTTGCCATTGCTTCGGTCGGCTCTCTTGATACCACTGTCGAAACTAATGCAAGGCGCATGGCCCGCAGCTGGAATCAAACCCGGCATCCCGGCATTACGAAGCGTACGCATCGACTTAGCCACAGAGCCGACTTGAAACACATTAGACTGGTAAAACGAGTAATGGAGATGTCTTGACAGAAATGAACACCAAAAGAATTAGCTATCCGCATCAGGAGATAATCTGCAGTCCTTGGTCGTGTCATGAGTAGGAGAAAACTTGAATATTTCGTGACTGTTGGAGGGGAAAGAGAGGGGAGAGAGAGAGAGAGAGAGAGAGAGAGAGAGAGAGAGAGAGAGAGAGAGAGAGAGAGAGAGCGAGAGAAGAGGGGTGGGGATGGGGGAGTTAGAGCGAGAATAAGAAGATACTGAACAGTATGTCACCATGGTATGGAAGATCATCTGCAAGATACCAACGGGTGTGAATAGACATGACTACCAAAGCCACACGGTGTGGACGATAAGAAAATACTGAACAGTTTGTCATCATAGTTTGGAAGGTCATCTGCGTCAGAAATTATCGAAAGAACATGAGACAAAAGGTTATCAATAGACATAACTATCCACACGGTGTAGACGATAAGAAGATATATCGTCTTTACTTTCTAGGACATTTCCTGGTACCCACTTTAGGCGGAACCAAGGTGATTTTTGAAGAAAAAATTCGACTCCAGGTGAATTAACAAGATGAATACTCATGGCCAACACACTCAATACTGAAGTAAACTGAGGTTGAAATCAGCTGCAACTAATGTAAAGTACTGTTGTAAACATGTTACTGATGATTCAGTCGTAGATTGCAGCAGCTAATTCATTCAACACAAACTGTGATTATGGAGCTCATCTGGTGTAAAATTCTGTTTGAACCCGATATCAGGCAGTATACATTAGAAGTATGATGATGTAGGTGACTGTAGGAGATAAAAACCTATATTTGCTTTACTACTATCAGACAGTATAAATTAGAAGTATGATGATGATGTAGTTTACTGTTAGAGATAAAACTAGTATTTGCTTTACTACTATCAGACAGTATAAATTAGAAGTATGATGATGATGTAGTTTACTGTTAGAGATAAAACTAGTATTTGCTTAACTACTATCAGACAGTAAAAATTAGAAGTATGATGATAATGTAGTTTACTGTTAGAGATAAAACTAGTATTTGCTTTACTACTATCAGACTGTATAAATTGTTAGTATACTAAATTAACTATTGGCGCAGTAAGGCAAAGCATGTAATGTGAGAGCTGACCCCTTGTATAGCATAAAGCTGTTCCAGTTAGCATACAGAAACACCCCATACAAATTATATTCACTCCCACCCTTTGCTATGCTAGGAATGGTCACTCACAACAAACCAGAAAAGAAAATTAGTAACAGCAGGACCAGAAGAGATAACATCAGGAATGTCTGCGAAAAGAAAAAAGAGGAGGGGGGAAGTCGACATAGAACCGATAATTAATTACATATAAAGACGGTAAACAAAACAAAAAAAAGTCAGGAATGTCTTCAAAAAAGGGCGAAATAAAGTCGACATAGAACCGATAATTAATCTATATATATAAAAATCAATGTTTGTGTGTTTGTTTCACCCCTATAGACTCGGAAACTACTGAACCGATTTAGCTGAAATTTTCAGGATATGTTTGTTGTGATACCGGATTTTGAACTGTCGTGGTTTGAAATTCAACCTGTCACTGTTAGAGATAGGTGACCACAATTTATGCAATAATATACGCAACTAATATTTATAACTTTAGTGATTTCTAATTATAGCCACGTTAGTAATTGCGCATGCGCCGCCGTAGTCAGAACGCAAGGCTTCCGCCATTCGCCGGCGAGTTACGTGCAGCCAACGCCTTCTCTAATACATAGAGTAGGTCTAGGTACAGCAAACAAGACTATCTCTATATTTGCCACAATAACCATATTAAACACGATTTCTATTTTCTGGTTTTTTTTTAAACAACCTTCGATGGGGGGGGGGGGGGGGAATCAAGGACTATCTCGACGTCGGCGCAGACATTGACTGCGACATTAACTTCATTAACCGTGTTAGACACGTGCGATTTCTATTGTTGTGCCGTTTCATTAATATATCTGGAGTATCTGTCTACAAGAAAACAATTGCCTGCGGTTTTGAATTGTGTTTTAATCAGGACACAGAAGTAGGGACACACATCTCTAATTGTTAAGTTCTCTTTTCCTTTATCCGATTAAGTGGCTGCTTGGTCGAATGGTTAGAATACTGGGTTCCTGTGCGGGAGACCTGGGTTCGAATCCGCAGTAGTTAATTTTTTTTTTTTACCCCGGACTAAAATAATATCCTCATCTGCTCTGTCGTGGTGACAGCACTAGCCATGTTGCCTTAAAAAAAAAAAAAAAAGACAAGTAAATGGGTTAACCATTTGATAATTAAATTTGACCATTTCGCATACTTATGATTGCATTTTAAAACTTTCCGATTGCATGGTTACGCTGACATTTTATAGATTTTCATTTATTTTTATTTAGATTTAGTTATTTCATCTGCGTTGGAATTTTAAGCTGTGCTGTTTACCATGACGTTCATTTCCTAAGTATGGTGTTTTTTTCCTGTGTTCATTTGCTTTTCAAGTGTGTTTTTTTCCCCCCAACTACTTCAATGAGAGAAAGAATTGTCGGTGAATTTTTGGGGGGGGGGGGGGGGGGGGGGGGGGGGGGGGCACTATTTACACACCGGAACCTACCAACAAATACCTTTCTTAAATGTTTGTGTATTCTAGACAAAGCAATAAGGTCTTACTGTGTTCGTGAAATTCTGGTTGCTGTGATTGTTATTCGACATTTGCTTCGTTAATATAAATTTCTGTAACCTATGTGCCATTTCAATGGGTTGAAATGATTCTGTCCGTATTCCATAGTCTCGTGGATTTCAAGCTGTACGATAGACATGGCCAATGAGACACTTTTTTTGGGGGTGCCGAGTTGACCATGTATCTTAGTGTGCACTTGTATTCATGGCGAGGCGCAGACGCCGTCTGGAGGTGACGCGGCTCAATTCCCGGCACGGTAACTATAGCTTTCGATTTTTATGTTGTCTAGTGTGTTCTTCTATCTTTCTACTTCTTTCTATGAGTGCCGTTCACAATACTTTCTGTTACTTGATTAATTCATAATATTTACTGAGAGAGCTTTAAGTCACAGTAACTGCTTTACCCACTTAAAGTAGCAGCAGCAGTAATAGTTGTGGTTGGGCTGTTACACCATAGTGCTCTCATGTGAAGACCGCCGGTAAGGTTATGGCGTTCCTCTGTCGGCAAGTGAAATTATACATCCTAACCTGACCAGTCTGTGGCGACAGCACTAGCCATGCAGAACCAAATCTTCTGGCTCACGACTCTCTGTCTACTCCGATGTCTAAAACAGATAGCAGTGACATTATTTTTTAGTAGTTGTACTGGTACTTGAAGGATGATGTGGTAAATATTACACTAGCCCCATTCACTACCTATTAAAATTCCTGCTCCCCATTTTAGTCCAGATGGACAGGGATGTCAATGTCAGTTTACAGCAACAACAAAATATCGCCAGGTAATGATTTTCAAATATTTCGAAGAGGGGAGAAAGCAGTAGTCGTGGAAGAGGGGAGGGGGGGGGGGGGGGTAATGACCATAAATTATGATGGGGGGGGGAGGGTAGTAGTGGATTTAGTTGGGAGTGGGGGGGGGTGGTGGGGTGGGGATCAAAAGACTATCTCTATATCTGAGCAGACAATGATTGTATTATGACACTGCGTGCGATTTTCTATTTTCCTTTCATTTCTATTTAGCAAACTATGGCCACAGCAACGCGTGGCCGGGTACAGCTAGTTACATATAAAGACGGTAAATTTAAAAAAAAGTGACGAAGAAGAAGAAGAAGAAGAAGAAGAAAGAAGAAGAAGAAGAAGAAGAAGAAGAAGAAAGAAGATGTGAAGAAGAAGAAAGAAGAAGAAGAAGAAGAAGAAGAAGAAGAAGAAGAAGAAAAAGAAGAAAAAGAAAAAGAAGAAGAAGAAGAAGAAGAAGAAGAAGAAGAAGAAGAAGAAGAAGAAGAAGAAGAATATGATGATGATGATGATGATGATGATGATGATGATGATGATGATGATGATGATGATGATGATGATGATGATGATGATGATGATGATGATGATGATGATGAAGAAGAAGAAGAAGAAGAAGAAGAATATGTTGATGATGATGATGATGACGACGATGAAGAAAAAAAGATGAAGAAAAAGAATAAGAAGAAGAAGAAGGTGATGATGATGATGATGATAATGATGAAGATGATGAGGAGAAGAAGAAGAAGAAGAAAGAGAAGAAGAAGAAGAAGAAGA